GGAATGGATCTGTTGGGAAAAGGGTACATAATATATTTTTAGGAAAAGATCAGTGGCCACTCTATTCCAGCTTTCTGGCCTCCTGAGAGTTCCCCATGTCCCAGGACTTTAAGTGGCTAAAAGCCTAACAGACTTGGTGTGGTCAGTTCTTCTGGGAAAGGGTGGTTGTTTTGTGAAGTTCTATACTTCCTGTTTCTTGCTGCAGAGACAAAATGAGTTAGGCCTTTATTTGATCAGGAGGCAAAAAAACTAGTTATTGCGACACTGCACTATGTCACAAGAAATTTGTGTTCATTTCTTGGCCCTGCTGCTGGCTTGAGTCATATAGAAAACACCGCTTTGTGTCTTTGTTTCCCTTTGGCTTATCTGAGTTGGGAGCAAAAGGCTGGCTCTTACTCTGACTTTATGCAGTGCCTAGCATGATGGGGACCCTGGCCCTGGTTGAGGCTGCTGGATGCCACTGAAATACAAATGGCAACTATAACAGGTGCAGCATACACAGAACATACAGCTCCAGACTACCCCTGCCTAGGAGCAGGCTGAAGGAGCAGTCCGCTTCTAAGCAGAAGAGTGATTTATCTCACAGGCAAGATATACTGCATATGCAACTACACACTTCAGGTGGCATGTTAAAACATCTCTTCTTCTGCTCCCATGTCCTCGACAGGAAGGAAACCATAAAGTCATAAATTCAGTCTGCTCAGTGAGCAGTCAAGAAAGGTGAGTCATTTTGGCTGCACTAGTCTGCAATCACGAAGGCAATAAACACAGCTTAAAGCAACTTTGTACTTCTCCTATTCCAGGGCTGGTAAGGGCAAAATCATGCCCCTCTAGTACGGCTAAGATCAATCATGTATACCAGCCAGCGACTCCCTGTGTGAAAGAATCCAGCCTCACATGGCTCCTTTATCCCACCAAAGTTGGGGCCATAAAGCAAGGCCCAGGGAAAGTCTAGTCCTCAGAGCTCAGCTATGATTAGAGCAGAATCCACCAACTCTTGTCTGTTATAGGAGGTAAGCGCAGTGTAAAATGTCTAGAGAAAGACACAATGTGGAGATGGATAGGAACTGCGCAGTGTCACTCTGCTTTTGTTCACTGAAACTGCTCGCTTTGCTCTGAACGTTCAGGGAGCGTGAATCAATGATCTCAGACAAAGGACAGCATCCAGTGAATGCAATGGTGCTCTGGGAGCTGAACATCAAGGCAGCTTTTCTGCTATTCAGCACACCCTACCTAGAGAGTGGATGTAAGGTCTAGCTCTAGCACAGAGTACAACGGACTTGCAGACAGGAGTTCTATTCCCATACCAGCCCCTGCTCTTCTGGATGCCTATCAACAGGTCATTTTCCCTCCTCAGGGCTCTTCTTGCCACCTATAAAACTGGGGTAATGACACCGATCTCCTTGGTAAAAAGTTCAGAGATATACTGATGAGAAGCGTTCTCTCATTACAGCGTACCACGCATAGAACTGAGGTTGCAGTAAAGGATCTATACTTGCAATTTGTTTAACAAGTTAAGTGCCAATTCCTTCAATCAAAATGAACATTTACATTGCTTGCGTACTAAGTCATAATAACAGAGCTCGGCTCAATCTCCTAATACATCTCCCAACCTGTTGGCATTACTAAGATCAAAACATAACAAAAACTTTTTTTTAGTCGCAAGAGTAGGTTGGGTTCTGTTGCTCAGAACACATGGCCTGGCAGGAAGATGTGTCTAAGCTAAGACTGCAGCTCAGACTCTCCCTCCCCCTTTGCTGCCAGAATGCTGTTTACTACCAGTTTGAACTTGCCTTAGTTGGTGACTCAGCCCTTCTATAGGCACAAAGGAATCCCGTTACAGGGAGGAGCACTGAAATGAAGTCAGTGCGCCATGAGATAAGGCTTATTTTGTTCTTTGCTGTGTTTGACCTTTGCCTTATTCTTTGCACGTCCCCCCTTTAAGAGTCTGTATTATCTCAGAATATCAAATAGAGTGAAAATTAAAAAAAACAACCTGCAAAGGAACTGTTATTCTGTTTACCTATGATAAACTGACAACCTCTGATCTGACCAGCGAAAATCTCATTGACAAAGCATTTCTATTCCACGCCCCGGTATGCAACCAGTGAACTCACCACAGGCTTTGCCCGTGCTACAGATGCAATTGGTTAAACAGCCTGTATCCAAAGGGGATGGCCCAGGAAAAATGGAAAGTGTTTCACGGAGAATTTTCAGTTACTTTTGGCACTTATTGTGTCTGAGTGTGTTGCTTTTTATGCCTAGGTGGGGTTTCAATGTTTGTTTCTATTTCCATTTCCTTTCTTTCTTTGCCCTCCCTTGTTTGTCACACACTGCATCTTGCACAACCTTGAAATCACCAAGTCAGTTTACACACTATTTTTGTGTGCAGTAGTACATAACCAGTTCCTCCCAATAGTTGGTTTGGTGGCCTTTTTCTCCAGTTCATTTTGCTGCCCTCTGCTCTTCTCTTAAAGGATCTTCATTTGAGGGAAGCTTGTTGTTGGGTTTAGGGAACAGGGCATGATTCACAGGGTCAGTAATAGGTTGTGTTGTTTGTTTTTTATGCTGAGGTCACCAGTTTAAATCCAGTGAGCCTCGAGAGTGACTGAAAGCATCTGAGGACAGCTGGGTGGTTTGTGTGAAATGCCAGCAAGTCTCAGGCCATGTCCAGTGGTTTTGTGCCTCTGTCATAGAAAGCCACTCTGTAATCAGTGCTAATTGGCAAGCTCAGCAGAGCAGAACTCTTCACTTACCTACACAGGCCGCTGTAATGAAATGGTGCAGTGCTGCTGCATCTGCTCTGCCTTGCCTGTGAGCCAGAAGAAAACTTTCACCTCCCAAAGTTGGCACCTCTCAGCAGCATGACATTTTCTGAAAATAAGTGGTTTGGTCTTTACATTGAGTGTATCTACACGTGCATTAATACACTTCAGTTAATGCACATTAAATCTAGTACCTCCATTGTGAGGTCCTGGGAAAATGCGCATTAGCCTGTCTTAATGTGCATAGCACAGGGTGCCTAAAGAGGTGCTGCAGGGCTGCTCCGATGCACTGTAATTCCAGCACATCAGAGCAGACCTGGTTAATTAAGTCTGCTGGAGCATGGCAATTGCTGTGCTGTGCTGCAGCCAGCCTCTGCATCTCACGTATTAGTGTCCCCACACTTCAAGATGGCAGTGGGGGCACTTGAACTAAAGTTTGTCAAATGAGCTTTAGTTCAAGTGAGATGCTGCAGCACTTTAATAAGAGTGGCTCTGGAGCCACCCTAATTAAAGTGCCTCCCCACCCACCAGAGCACGTGTAAAAGTACTCACAGTTTTTAAGTGATCCTTAGGATGCCTATACACGTAGAGTGAGGCTGCTCCAATGTGCTGTAATTACAGCTTGTTGGAGCACGCTCAATTAATCGAGTCTGCTGGAGCATGGTAATTACCGTGCTCCAGCAGACTCCAGCGTCACATGTATCAGCATCCCCATGCTGAAAAATGGCGGCAGAGGTACTTTAACTAAAGCTCGTTCGACAAGCTTTAGTTCAAGTACCCGTGTCGCCATTTTTCAGCACAGGGACGCCAATACACGTGATGCTCCGGGCACCTTAATTAGAGTGGCTCTGTGAATTAACTAAATAACATGGTTTTTCAGTGATGCTTTAATGCACATTAAAATAGGCTAATGCACATTCAAGTGTACCTATAGATGTAGCCATTGTAATGCAGAAAAGTTCCATATAGGCTGCCGGGTTTGGGTATGAACAACAAACCTCCCTTGACCCTGTCCCTAGGCCTTACCAAGAAACACAGCTTCCTCTTCTAATCCCCAATGGAGGTCACTTGCAACACTGACTTGTATCATTATGCTAGCAGGTGCTCTTGGATGGTTCAGGTAGCTTAGGCTCAGGATTCTTTGTATGCCCTGCTAGGTCTTCCCACACCCGACTAGCTTCCCATCCATCAGAAGGCAGCTGGTTTAGGAAGCTGTCTTCTGTGCTCCACAGGAAGGGTTTTTTTGATCGGAAGTACGGGACTCTCACAAGGTTTCCGCTGGAATTCCCAGCTGGGAAAGGAAGTTTCTCAGAAAGGAAATCCATGTGGCACTTTCACTCCTCTGTCCTAGGCCAATCATGGGGATTGTCTGCTAAACTGCGTGGATACACGTGGAAAAGGGAACTGACCACAATTCAAGAGACTTTTTGCACACACAACAGAGCAATGTATGCTGCCTCTACACCCACTCTGTTCCCTCCCAGCCACATGGGTCAGAAGGAAGAGGAACAAACATGGGATGGTAAGTGAGTAGAGGAGAGTGGTTCATCCCAAATGCGGAACAGGCCTGCCTCTGTGGGGAAAACTCAGTGGAAACAGCAGTGGTGACATGCACACTTGTCAACAGCACTTGCTGGGCAGATGCAGCCACAGCTGCATTGCTCACTCAGGGGTTACACTGAAGCAAACTATTAAGGGAAGCTACTTTTCAAAGGAAGCAAGCGTAGGTCCTAGAAGCCCTTTGCACACAGAGAACCTGATGGCTGTAGGGTGCTGGGGTATTGCTGACAAGTGCTTTCAAAACAGGTTGGAGAAATTATGGAGGTGCAACAACTTCCCAAACTGGCCATCAGCATCCCCCTGCTTTACCTGCGGCAGGTTGGGGTGCTGCGCTTCATGGCTGTGCAACGGGGTTGTCTGCGCAGTTTTAGCAATAGGCGAGACCAGGATTTCCCCTCACGAGGTTTCCTTTGGGATCCCCAGCTGGGAAAGGAAAACCCCACGGCTCTCGCAAGCTTGCAGTGACCGAAAGCGGGGCAGCTTCTGCTTCTGCCGTAACTCCATTGAGTCCGTGCCGTTATGCCAGCGGATAATTTGGCTTGGCCAGGGATGAGCCTGTCTCAGGCAGGAGGCTGGACTAGACGACTTGCTGCGGTCCCTTCCTGCCCTACTTTCCCAAATGGACACAAGGGCGTTCTTTTTCACCCAGCGTGTAATTAATTAAAGGAGGAATTCATTGCCACCAGGGGTCCCGGCCGGGTTTAGCCAGACTCACAACGGGATAGGGCATGTCCTTGGGGGACAGGGGGGTCGGTAGCTACTGAGCACAGGGGCGCGGGGCACGGCCTCCGAATCCGAGCTTTCTAGGCCTGACATGAATTATTTTTAAATAAATGTTTCGTGTCCCCAGCCAAATCAAGTCCAAATCCACAAGTCAGTCCAGAACCGTACGTGGACTAAAAACAACAAACACCCTCCACCCCCATCTGGGGCTTCAGACATTTCCAGAGGCTTTTGGCGGGCAGCCTGCCTGCCCTCAGCCATACGGAGGAGCCTCCCATTCCCATCAAGTACGCTTTAAGCCCCAGCACCTCGGCGAGAAGTTACGGCTCGAAGTCGGCATGCGGGCATCGGTGATATCACGGCAGTGAGGTCACGCCCGCCGGCGGTGACGTCACAGGGACTCCGCGCAGGCTCGGTCGGGCTGGCG